CTAATTAAGGTTTGCCTGCCAAGGTGCCAAGACTACTGAAATGGCATTTTGAACTCTTGTATGGCTAGGTACTTTGGTCTGGGTGGGTTTTTTTGTTTGGTTGGTTTTTGTTTGGTTTTGGTGGTTTGGTTTGGTGGGTTTTTTGTTTGTTATTTTTGTTTGGTGGGTTTGGGGTTTTTTTGGAGGGAGGTGGGGAGTTTAAACTGTGATTCAAAGGTTTAAAGGGCAGCTAAAAGTAACTTTGCAAGTGTTCTCAACCTGTAACTTTCCATTTGTGTTACAGTCTGCTTCTAAAGCAGAGTGCTCTGCAGCTGGCACAAGCACTGTCTCGAGAACCAGAGCTCCTGCCCTTACCAGGTGGAGGACAACAACTCCCAGGTGTCTGTCCCAGTGGAAGTGCGACTGACTATAAACCCCATATCTCCAGCTGGAGTTTCACCACTCTTGTGAGCTCACGTGGAGTCACGAGCAAATGTCCCAGACCTTTGAGAGGCACTGGTTTAGGTTGACTGGGTACCCTCTGGTGCTCCCCACTGCCTGTTGTAGGGAAAGACACATTGATCTCTCCTGCCCAGAAGAGGGGGGTAGTTGTCTTGCAAATCCTTCAGTCACCCCCAGCTACACCCCTCTGCCATGGCCATCACCTGCTTCACCACCTCTGGCTCCTCTTCTCTTCCCTGGCTGTTCCCACTTCCAGGGCTCCCACCTCTCTGCCCATGAAGCTCAAGGACTGATGCAGCTCTCCCACAAGGACAAGTCACTGCTGGGGAGGTGCTGAAACAATCAAACATGGTGAGTTGGCAAGTTCTGAAAGGAGCAGGTAAGATTTTGGTTGGGTTGTGTGCAGGACAGTATTTCATCCTGGTAAAATAAAAGGACCAATATTTTGGATTCTGTGGCAAAGTGTCAGTGAACAAAAGCCTTAGTAAACAATCTGCTCACTGCAACACTTGGAATACATTTAAATTTAGCCTGATTTCGTTTTTTCATCTTTGGCTGTGACTGAATGGTGGCTTTGTTTATAGCAACTGTTTCTGTGTTCCAGTGAATCACCTCATGCAGAGGTGGTGTTCAAGAAATAAAAGATGAGTCTTTCTGGATGGGGGGGGGAGGCAGCAGGAATTTGATGGGTATTCTTATTGTCAGAAAACTTAATACTGAGTGTGTATGGAACCTGCTGAGAATTCAGCATCTTATTTCACTTTGGAGAACCTCTACAAAGAAAAGAAACTATGTCTACTTGTACCAGACTGTACTCCAGGGAAATACACTCAAAGGGTGCCTTTATTTGAGAGTGCTGAGACGAACTCTGTGGCCACTGTGTTCTACTGGAACAATAGGGGGATAAATGAGGTGTTTGACTTCCCTTTCCATCTTGTGGCTTCTCTTCCTTTAGCTTTGGAGTGGTTATGCTGCAATGCTGAAGATACTCCATGTGGGGCTCCAGGATCTCATTCCTGCCTGCTTGCCATTTGTTTGTAAGCTACTCTAGGACAGCTGCACCTCACAGAAGTGAATACTCCAAAAGAAAGCATTTTTTTTCTGTCTTCCCTACTGCCCTCTTGTACTTAATACTCTACTGTAATACCTTTAGAAGACTTACAGCACGCACCAGTGTGCGTCATATTCCTCCTACAAACAGCTTACTGAAGGCTTGCAACAGGCAACGTGCTTGGCGAGGTGGACATTTGTGTTTGAGACTTGACCTCACACCTTTTTACCCTTGTCTTAAAATGAAAGAAGACAAAAATAATTTTGCAGGTTGCAGTTACACGCGAATATGAAACACGGGTCCCTGAGTTCCCTGCTTTCATTCAGACAGGCTGACTTTCAGCACCATTTTCTCCCACCTCCCTCCACGATTTCAGAGCCATGCATGTAGGTACTGCATCCAGGAGGAACTGGCTGCAGATACCTGTATAATCAGGGTCCATGGTCACTGAGCAGCAGAATATGAATGTTGCATAGAGAAATCAGAGATTTACTTTTCTATTACTTGCGAATGTAATAAGACTCCTCAGAACCACAAACAGAAGTTAGGAAAAGCAAGCTTGATTATTTAAGATTATAGAAAAATAACCCAACCTTTCTCCCAGTTCTCAAAGCATTGCTCTGGGAACAGAGTAAGGTACTTTGGAGACTTTTTACTCAGTATTTCAGAATGTTTTGATACTTTGTTGTCTTTGAAAGTTAGCTGCAAATAAACCAATTTCTTGTTGCTTCTTCCACATATCTCTCGTTTTTCTAAAAATCCCTCAAGTAACATACCTGTAATTACAAAGTCATCTCTTGTTTGTTTTGAAAGCTTTGCCTAATGGGAAAATAAGTAATTAAAATCTCCAGCCAGCTGTAGCCAACTTTAGCCACAAAACTGTTCATTTCGGAGGGAGCTGGAATAACTGACTCAACTTGAAAATTTAAATAGTTGTTTCAGAATACTGGCAAAAAAAAAAAATTAAATTGGACTCACTGAATTGGGAATTGCTGATTCTGACTTAATGTTTGAGTTTTCAGAGTTATTTAAGGTATTCTTTTTTAATACATAGTGGGCTGGGCTTTTTCACCTCAAATTAACAAAGCAGATTTTTTTAAAGACTGAGTCCTTAACTGAAGGAATATGCTCTTGAGATCCATGATACTGCCAAAGATCACAACCACCACTGAAACTAGAAAACAGTGACCCTATTAACACTGAGATTAAAAAGAAAATGAGGGTGAGGACTTGTATTGCTAGACTGTGAAATGCAATCTGATGAGACTGACCTGGACATTTCTGTACAGCCATGAAGCAGCAAAGCAAAGCTTGTTAACCTCCTTCATCGATTCCAGTTTCCTTTTTGTTTAAATTGAAATGTCTAATGTTTCGTGTTTTTTTCATCACTACATAGTGTAATACAGTTGCTGCTGCTATTAACCTTCAGGCAGACAGAAAATCAGTGAAGGTTGATGTGTGATACACTTTTATCTGGAACTAATAGCCCTTGCACTCAGTTACAGAGAAAATATTGTAACACCTGATTTGTGATAAAGATAGTGGGAATAAGAGCTAGTGCAGCTCAGAAAAGCCATTTTTTGTTGTCTGATGGTGAACTCTGCTTCTTTTGGCCACAGGTGTCTCACAGTGCAGAGGAAGGAGTCACAGAGAACAGAGATCATTAACCCTCTACAAAAGCTTAATATTCCATAAATGGCACATGGAGAAAGTGCAATGATAGCTGCTCTTGAATCCCCAGTGAAGAAAATCTCTGCACAAGCTGCTACCTGTGCAGGGGATGGAGCAGCAGAAAATTGCTAAAGATTTCATGAAACCTGCTTTGTTGGGCTGCACTCTGGTGGGGGCTGCAGTTATGTGACTGCACTGGGACTGCTGCTGGAAATTGTGTTGAAAAGATGTGGAAGCATCCTCTGCTCAAACAGGTGATGAAATTCTTATGAGTTCGGTGGGTCTTAACATTCATTTGTAGACAGCAGCATCTGTGGGGAAGGAGATGGGGTTTCATGGGGTGAGTGAGTGGGATGACTTGGATTTTCACGATTTCTGCTTTCTGGAAATGTTGTTATCCACAAGTAGGAAAGGGAGATAGTTGGGTTCTTACCAAGGTGGAGACAAGAATCCTATTTTGTGTTGCTGAGGGCAGTTAGAATAAGGAAGTGGCCCAGTATTTACCAAGTTCCTGAATCATAATGTTAATTTTCCTGAAATCACCTAAGTAGCATGCCATTGTCCTTCTTTGCTGGTGTGACTACTGCTTTTCTATCTCCCAAGATTAGAGACTTTTACAGGAGTGGATGAACTGAGAAGTCAGTTGCTCCCTGAAAAATGATAACATTTTTCCTCAGCTGCATGTGTGGAGGTCTTGGTGAACAACACTTTCCCAACATTCTCCTGGAAAGCCCAGTGAAAATATTTCAGTCATTGCCAGAAACTGATTGCCACATACTTCAGCCCCTTACTTACTGCTGTACCTCAATCAAAGGGAACAGCCATTCCTGTATTCCCTGGTGAAAAAGTAACTGTCTGAACACCCGTGCACCAGCAGCACTTGCAGGCTGTATTGCAACGGGTAAGTTTTGCCTGTGGTGGATGGATGGATCCTTTCCCGTGGCATAAGCTATACATGTGTAGGTCCTGGGATATATTATGCTGTACCTGCACAGCAGAAGCTGCAGTAGTGACCAGACTCAGAAAACCTTTAGGAACAGTAGGAGGGAAGTGGAGGGCAGCCTGGAACTAAGCGTTCCCGGGGAAGAAAACACCATCCTGTCACCCACAGAAAAGCAGCTCTAGGCTTCAGCAGTGATGCTTTCCTACCCGCCGGGGCCTGCAGGCTCGGTAAAACACAGCCAGCGCTGGGAATCGAGAGCAAGGAGCACTGGAAACCCAGCCTGTGTGGTTCCTTGAGAATTGTGTCCGGTTGTTGACTACCGTGTGTGTGGGCAGGTACGAGCTGTGGCTGGGGCTCCTCCCGCACGGGAGCGAGCTCCGGTACCCACCAGGATGCAAAGCCGTGCCCAGCCGCCTCCCTCCCAGCACTGCCGAGCAGGGGGGGCGGCAGCGACCCCGCTGAGCGCGCCGGGCCCCGCAGCCCCCGGGGGCGGGTCTCCGCTCCCCCTCCGCCGAGCGGGCACCTCCCTCCGGGCGCGGCGCTGCGCAGAGCTCGGGGAGCGCTGGACCCGCTCCCCATCGCCCGGCGCTCACAAGGGTTAACACCGCCGAGGCAGCTCCCACCGCCCGGCGCTCACAAGGGTTAACACCGCCGAGCCACGGAGCCCAGCGCCGCCCCTCGCCCGGCGCTCCCGCAGCGCCACCGCCCGGCCCCGCCGCCGCCCCCGCCTCCCCCGGCCCCGGCGCCGCCGCGCACATGGCCCCGGCCCCGGTAAGTCCGCGGTAAGTCGGCAACGAAAGCGGGGCGGCGCCGGGCGGGGGAGCCCCGCGAGGTGACGGGCTGGGGAGCGCCGGGGCAGTGTCGATGCGCTGCGGGGTCCGGCCGGGGCGGGGGGCGGGCGCTGAGCGGCTCTGCCCGGCCCGCAGCCCCCGCTGCCCGCCCCGCCCCGGCGGGGGAGCCGCGGGAGGGTGGCCCGGCCGTGGGTGGCCGCACCGGGCCGTGGCTTCGTGGAGGGCCCGGCCGGAGCCCTGCGAGTCGGAAATCTGTAGCGATCGGCTCGCGGTTGCCAAATCTGACGCCCCCAGCCGGGACCCGAGGGCGGTGATGGCAAGGAAGGATGCTGCCAGAAGTGCCCCCGCTACTGAGGCTGGAGGAGATGTCATTGCCCAGGCAGCTGGCGGGGACACAAGCCCTGGTACCTCAGGCAGGGATCCGGCAGCTTTGGCCACTTTCTAGGGAGAAGAGAATGAGCTGGTGTGCCAGGGTGATGCCAGGGCAGCGTGTGCTCTGTTAGGGATCCCACCAGGTAAGGACTCTAAGCTGAGCAGTCCTCTGTGAAAGGAAGCCAGCAGTCTTGTTCCAGGGCTTGCGCATTTCCCATGTGTGACCTGCCCTAGCCTTGGGAAAGATTATGCTTCCCAGAACAAATGGAGGACCTGTGAGTTTGAGATCTTCTTTCTAAGGACTTCCTTCAGTGGATAGAGACAGAGCCTGTATTTCACTCAGCTGTGCTTGTGACACTTAGGCTGTGTAAACCCTGACCCTCTCCACAGAGATGTTGCTTGGTGTGGTGCATCCTCGAGGAGAAACGCCTTTGGCTTCTTTCTCCTCACGGCCCTCGGTGGAATAGATTACAAGAAGGTCTGCAAAAGGAAGGGGTTACTCACTTCAGTGATGGTCTCCTGAAAGCCAAAACCACTGGAGCTTATATTGAGTTTGAGGTACCTCCAAACTCATTCTGAGTGGAGATTCAGAGGAGCAGAGCTGGTTCCTTGAGATTTCCCACTCTGCTTTTGTCAACAAGTGCTGGATCCAAATGGCTTGACACAATTTTACTTACAGGTATATTCAGCGTTTAGAAAAGGAACAACACTTTAGCCAAAGTCCCCATAAATCACACTGATTTCCTGAGGCAAGGGGAGGCTCTTAATATGAATATTTATCCTGTGTGTTTCATAGCATCATTGCAGAAGTAGATGTCAACCATGTGCAATCCCCAATACAAAGAGGATGCTAGACCACCAGTTCCCTTGCAGGATAAGGCTTTCCTGCATTTGGAGAGCATGCCTTGTGTATCTGTATGTGTATATTCACATGCATACTTCCAAAGAAGATTCTTCTCTTAATGCTTTTGAACAGAAGCATCTACATTTAATGAAGAAAAGACAACATTCTCCCATGACATTCCTTGAGTGACACAACAAGCACCATCACAATAGTGAGCAAATAGTTTTTGCAGGACAGAACAGCATCTTTTCAGTACATTCACTTCCAAGAGGATACCATCTTTTTCTTTGAATCCTGAGCAGTAGCATTTCACATGACTCTGTTTCCCCATGCACTTGGAAGAGGTGGCTTTTCCTCTGTCTTTCCCACACTATTGACCTGTGTCAGTTTGGCGATTGAGGCACATTTGCATTGTTCAGGGCCTCCAGCAGCCTTGTGGCAGCCTCCTGCAACTCTTCTTCCTTCACTGCCTTCCCAAGAGACAACAACAACTTCATTGTCTGCAGGGAGCTTTGCACCTGGCTGTCTAGCAGCCTGAGGAGGAGATCCTCGATGTCACTGTGTGGCAGCTGCTGGCCACCGGCTGTCGCCTCTGTGGCTTGTGGGCCAGTAGGTAAGAAGGTGGGGGTCACAGGTACTTCCGTGTCAGGGCTGGAGCCAGCTGGATGGGTACTTGTGGGAGATGTGGGGTAAGGTGGCTGGGGACCGAAGTTTCTGGATGACATGGCATCACTGCTCGTGGTAATGTCATTGGTGCCTGCTGTGTTGCGCAGCTTGGCGCTGCTCTCTCCTGGGCATGCAATCCTCTGTGGAGGAGAAAACATACCTCTGTAGAGGCTTCAGGAGCAGGCACCTAGGCACTCCCCTGTTCTGTGAGTTTAGCTCTCACTGCACAATCCCATCTTTCCCACTCCCTACAAAGATGAGCCCAAGAAAGCAAAGAAACCTTCATATCCTTTCTTTGTCGAGTCTCCCCGTAAGTCTCTCATGGGACTCACAGCTGTCTTTACTTTCTTCTAGCCTGCATGAATCCCCCTCTCTCCTGGAGAACCTAGATTGTCTCAACTTGGTTGGGAATGAGCTGGAGAGGAGGGCTGAGGTGGTCCTCAAAGGTTCATTTTCTTGAAGATAACTCCTGCAAAGTCTCCTTTTTGGCAAGTGGCTTCAGGTGCCATCTGAAGCTAATCAGCTTGGTGTGAGTGCGCCTGGAATGTGGGCTACCCCTGGCTCTCTCCTCTCTTCCCTGTCTTTTAGCCTCTTGTTTTCCCACTTCCTTATTTTCAGGGCTCTCCCTTTGGCCTGTTACTTGCCCAGAGCACACATAGTCTTCAGGGAATAGCTAAATAACTCACCTTAAGAAAATACTTTTTCTTAATACAGCGATAAAAAGAAAAGGTGCAGAAGTTTGGGAAGAAAGTTTTTCCTGGCATTTCGGAGCATACGGGTCCTAGAAAGAGGCAAATGAAGAGACAGACCTAGTGATAAACTCCAGTGCTGGCATCCTACCAGTCCTTAGCAATAACCTCACTGTCGAGTGACATCCCTCCATGAAAACTCCTATGCCATTTGGGTGCCCCCCTGAACCTTGTGAGAAACTCCGTGTTTTCTTGGTCATTTCCATGGCCCAAGGTGTGAGAGGAAGCTTGTCCCAGGGACGTGTGTGGATGCAATCAGGTGTGAGAAAGGATGTGCATGAGCAAGTGCCTTCTCTTCACTGCAGGATTGCTACCCATCTCTCTCCCCCACCAGCTCCTGAGTCTGTCCTCTCCCAGTGATCAGGTCCTGTGCTGGCTGTGCGGGACCCCCATCCAGCTGCCTGCCCTTGGGAATCACACTTGGCTTTACCTTGAGGGATGACTCCGTGGTTTTCGTACTTGTCCAGTGTCTGGACCAGTGAGTTCTGGCAGCCATACAGCTCACGAAGATGGCAGGCAGTGCTGGCTTGGAGAGTGATCCGGAGGAACTTGAAGAACTGGCGGTACTCCTGGTCGGAGAGTGGCGTTCCTGGCTGCTGTGCCTTCGTCTCCCGAGGGCCAACTATGCAGCCCCAACCCAAGAGCACTGGTAAAAAATAAAGTGCAGGGAGTCAGAGGGAGAAGGAAACCCTAACCACGCCACAGTCAAAAGAGCTGGAGGGCTGAATCCAGATCTCCGTTGCCTTTTCTGGGTGCATTTCCCAGCATGTGGGAAATGCAGTAACAGACTCGAGATGGCGGATCCAGACCTGGGAAAAACCTGCCCCACCCGTGTTGAGAGGATGTAGTATTTTGGGGACAGTACTTGGCTGAGGGGCCTTCACCATAGCTCTGGAGATTCAAATCTTGAACTGGGAGAAATGTCTTGGAAGTCATGGCTGGGAATATTGCTATGCTCTTGGGGCTGGAGCAAGGAGACTGTTTCATTTCAAGATTTTTAGCCTCTGCAAATGTTCTTCCTCTGGCTAAGTAGGTCTTTAACCAAGGTCCTCTCTCAGATCTCCTTCTCCTGCCTCCCCTGTTGCTTCACTGGGTCAGCTCTTTCCTCCTGGCCTTGCAGGTCAAGTCTAGATCTCTGTGCTTGTCTGATTTAATGTACCCAGGTGTCCCTGTCTCCAGTCTCTACCTCTGCTCCAGTCTGTGCCTACACATCCAGCTCTGACTCCTCCCTGGCTCCTGGGTCACTCTGTGGCCCTTCCTGAAGAATAAGATACCAGCACAAGTGGGTGAAAACTGGCAAAATTTCAGGCCATGAAAAAAGCCTTGGGATCTTTGCACCTGAGGTGTTGGAGGGTGCTCCTGTCCCTTCCTTTTGCCTCCAGACTGCCCAAGCTGAGGAGCGATGGGGAGGGGTGCAGAGCAGCCACTTCAGCTGCCCTTTCTCACAACCAGGCTTGGAGGAGAGATGTTTGCTACTCACCAGACAAAACCAGGTAAGCCCTCATAGCCGATATTGAACTGTGAGCAGGGCCTGTGACAGGCAGGGCCGACAGTCGGGGCCCAGTGTGCTGCCAGAGGTGTCACCTCCACTCTTTCACTGGTGATGTCATAGACACCTGCATTCCCAACACTCCATCCTCTGCTGCTCACGCCTCCTCCCAGCTATGCCTCCCTGCTGCCTCCCCCCCCGCTGCCCCCTAACAGGCTGAGTGTGGACATATTGGTATTTGTGCACAAACTCCTGCTCACTGACAGCTCTTTAAAGTCCATCTGGAAGGAGGCCATTTTTCTGGAGCACAGGACAAAAAATTCTGCCTTTGGACTGCTCGTGTCAATAAATGTATGAGCAGATCAAAATCTTGTCTCTCACCCAGACTTTTGCATGCCTGGCTGATCCACTGAGAGCGACTGAGCAAAGTACTCCTTCAGTGAAGGCAATAAACGGAGTTCCAGACAGAGGCAAAAAGCAGCCTAATTGTGAAGGTGGCATTTTTCCTCCACCTGCAGAACAGAACTGCATTACATTATGTTCTCCTTTAGTTCACTGGGAAGAAAGACGATGGAGAGAACACGGTTTGAAGAATCAATATTTTTCTTACACAAAACTCATCAGGAGGCATTTTTGGTCTGGGAGTGCAGCAGGAGGAACATCCAGACACTTGTGAGAAGGCAGCAAGCTGGCAGGCAGCTCTCAGTGTGTGTGGTTGACCTGTCTGTGCTACATGAGGTGGCCCTGGTTATTGGACCCGAACATCGGTGTCACAGTGTGCATGACAGGACAGACAGTGACCCTGACTCATGTTTCTGGGTGTCATTTTCCTATGGTCTAGGTTGCTTCCAGCTCCTAAACACTTACCCTCCTGAAATCTCATTCTACAGCACTGCTGCTATGATGGGTATTTATTATGTCTGTTTTCTTTCCTCTGATCAGGACCTGCAGTCCCCAGCTTGGCTTTAACCTTTCAGATGGAGTGAAGAGAAACAGCTTTTTGGCCAGAAGCAACTAAATACCCAGACAGTAGAGAGACTGCTCACAAGGTGAGAAATTACATGAAGCATGTCCAGGAAGGGAAGAGCTGAATGCTGAGAATTTGATGTGTACTGTGCTGCACGCTCCACAGTCACCCTGCCTCTTCTGCTCCCATACTATAGCGATGCTGCTTTCAGGAAGATTTGTAGGCAGGGTATGACAAAGACAAAATGCACTCCTGGGGTATCTAGACCCTGTCCAAAATGAAATCAAATCCTGTGTATTTTTCAGCAAAGACTACAGACTGTTAAAAGACATAACTAACCAAAGTGTAGCTTTTTCTTCCTTTCACACAGACAGTATTTTTAATATTTTATTGGTCACTTTGCTGCTTTGAGGTGCTTTTGAGTACCTTTATTTGTACTACAAATTTTTTCATCCCTGAGTGTTGTAAACAAAACGTTGGGAATTGGTATAACCCGTGTGGTAGTGCCTTCCAAAATCTGCAGATCACTTGAAACAAAATCTGCTGCATGACCTCATATTCCATGTTGAGGAGAGTAGTTGTGATGTTCTTCTAACCTTGCTACACGTGGGAACTTTGAGGGCAAGCAAGAGACAGGTCTTGCCCTTTAGGGCTGTAACTTTATGACAGAATACCCCCTTTGCAATCTGTGCCATAGTGGCCACCCATTTTTGAGTCACATTCCGTTCCTATGCTCCTTGGTTTCCGTGCCCTCTGCCCTGAGAAGATACTGAGGGGCTGTCTCCTGTGCTGTCAGCTCATGGTGCAGCAGGTCTTGGTGGCCTCCCTGTTTGGGCTTCTCCCTCAGACAAGCAGGGGGTTATTCACTGCTAGTTCCTCTGTTCACTCCAGCAGGTGACAGGACCGTGGGTGACATGCAGAACGGCAGCCATCATCAGGAAAGTCCTGTGAGAGCTGAACCGCATCTGTGTTCCCCCAGGAAGCTCACAGGAGATACCTTGCAGGACACCGATCAAAGACAAGACTGCAAGCAGGAGCTGGAGACAGAAAGTGAGATGGAGACGTCTTTTGCAAAGAGACAGGGAATGGTAACTCCCTATGGGATGGAAATCTGGGAGTGCGAGGACAGCGGTAGAGGCCACATCAGCAAGGTTATCCTTGCTGGGGACAAGCCCGACCCACCCATGTGTGGGAATGGTGCCATTTGGATTCAGCAGGTGGAAGAGAAAACCTATGAGTGTCCCGAATGTGGGAAGAGCTTCAGCCGGAGTTCTTACCTGAGCCAACACCAGAGGATCCACCTGGCAGAGAAACCCTTCAGCTGCTCTGAATGTGGGAAGAGTTTCACCCGCAACTCGGACCTGATCAAACATCAGCGGATCCACACTGGTGAGAAGCCTTACCAGTGCAACGAGTGCAAGAAGACCTTCAGCCAGAGGTCCAACGTGATCAGGCACCAGCGGACCCACACGGGAGAGAGACACTACCTGTGCAACGAGTGCGGGAAGAGCTTCAGCCAGAACTCGCATCTCATTGTCCACCAGCGCAGCCACAAGGGTGAGAAACCCTTTAATTGCCTTCGGTGTGAGAAAAGCTTCAGTGACCGTTCCTCCCTGATCATACACCGGAGAGTCCACACTGGAGAGAAGCCTCACAAATGCCAAGAGTGCGGGAAGTGTTTCCGGGACAGCTCGGCCATCATTCGGCATCAGAGGATTCACACGGGAGAGAAACCATACGAGTGCACCGAGTGTGGGAAAACCTTCCGGCAGAGCTCCTCGCTGGTGACCCACACACGGACACACACGGGCGAGAAGCCCTACAAGTGCCCTGTGTGTGGGAAGGGCTTCAGCCAGAGCTCGGCGCTCACCACTCACCGCCGGATCCACGGTGGAAAGGCCCTGCCCATGTACCACGGCGGCCTCCTGCCTAACCCCTACCAGTGCACCGAGTGCGGCCGGAGGTGCAGCAACCACTCCACCCTGGCCAAGCACCAGAGCACACACGCCGAGGAGCGGCCCTTCATCTGCGTGGAGTGCGGGGACAGCTTCCGGCGGAGCTCGGCTCTCAACGTCCACCTGCGGATCCACCGTGGGGAGAGACCCTACAAGTGCGAGGAGTGCGGAAAAACGTTCAGGCACAGCTCGGCCCGCTGTGCCCACCTGAGGATCCACGCGGGAACCAAGCCCTACGAGTGCGTCGAGTGTGGGAAAAGCTTCCGGAAAAGCTCAACACTTAAAGTGCATTTGAAAATCCATGTGGCCAAGAAACCCTATAAAAGTGTGGTGGGTAGAAGAGTGCTCACTTTCCGCTCACTTCTGCCATAAGCTTGGAATGGCTGTTCAAAGCAGGAAACTAGTGTTGGGGCTACCTTAAAAAGGTGGGTAATGAGAACCACCGTGTGAAGAGACTGACTGGAGACAGGGTATCTCTGGTGTTAGGGCTGGGTGCTAAACCCCAGTGGCACAAGAACTATTAGGAAGTCTGGAAACAGAGAGTTAGTCCTAAGAGCTGAGTGCTGGTGGTTTAGGAAGAGTGCCAGGAATGTGAGGAATGAGCACCAGCTTCAGGGTAAATCAGGGACTGAGAATATGTGGTAGAATAACAGCTGGGAGAATTGGGCTTGTAAAATACAACAGAAGTGAAGATCGTAATAAAATGTTTCAGGTTGGTTCTGGCTCAAAACTTTAGCTTGTTAGACACTGTAGTAGTCTTAGGAAGTGAACTCTCTTATTTTTCATGAATATAGTCAGTTTACCCAGTGTTTGACAAGGCATTTTCAAATCTTTTGAGTCTGAAACTTTGGAGCTGAACTTCAGTCTATTTTGTCTTTTCCAAATCTTACATGGGACAGTGAGTTCCTACCTCATGATAGGTGAGTATGTACCCAGAAAACATGGATGTGGAAGTGTTTCCAGTTGAAAAGCAACCTATTAATAGTCTGTGACAGCTTCTCCCAGATTTCTTCTTGCTGATTTGAAACTCCTTCCACTTGAGACATCAATGAAACATGGACAAAAATGTGGCCTTTTTTTATTTAACCAAAAAACAGGATTTTTCCCCTAGATGTCCTACTCTCAAATGTTACGTGATGAGTTCTTACTGCTGGTCCGGAGACTGACTGCACTTCTGTAGTCGTTTTTACACTACTCTTCTTTAGCTCACCGTTGTTTGAAAAGTATTAACATATAAAGTTCAGCATCGAACAGGTAGGAACGACTATATTTGCATTTATTACTATGCCGACGACTGCGTATTACATAAACCTGTATTGCAACGTTTTGTTACTACGTGTTTCCATCCTGAATAAAACCTTTCATTCTCTCCTGCGTACAGTCCAGTTTTCTGTCTCTGCCTGTGATGGAAGGTGGGAAGGGGTGAGGGTGAGCACCAGGCGGGGTTTGGCGAGGCGGGATGCTCGGGCAGCGCGATGGGAAGACGGGAGGGAGGAAGGGGCGGCCCCGCTGGCGGTGCGGTCCTTCCGTCGCGTCACGGGAAGGGGCGGGAGGGGCTCCGGCGCCCGGTTCGAACGGGGCAGGATGGAGAACGGGATGGAGAGCGGGAGGGAGAGCGGGGCGGCGGCGGCGGAGGCAGCGAGCCCTGCGTGCGGCCGGTTCCCATTCCCCTACACGCCGTACCGCATCCAGGAGCAGTTCATGGAGGCGCTGTACGGCGCGCTGGAGGCCGGCCGGGTCGGCATCTTCGAGAGCCCCACGGGCACGGTGAGGCGGGGCGGGGGCCGGGGCTGTGCCCGGCGGGGGCGACTGCGGGGTGGCGGCGGTCTGTGACAGCAGCGCTCCCTCACCCTGTTGGCTTCCCACGGCAGGGAAAATCCCTGAGCCTCATCTGCGGGGCCCTGTCGTGGCTCCGGGACTGGGAGGAGAAGAAGCGGCAGGAGGAGGCGCGGCTCCTGGAGGGGCTGAGCCCGGCCGAGCCGGGACACCCGGGAAGCACCGACACGGCCGGGGAACCGGACTGGGTGACGGCGTTCGTGCAGAGGAAGGAGGAGCGGGACAAGGTGGACAGGCTAAAGGTTGGGAAACGCTCATCTGTAGGGGATGGGTGAGATAACGAGGAAGGGATTGGGAAGGCTGGTATCACAGAATGGCTGGGACTGGAGGGGGCCGCTGGAGGTCATCTAGACCAACCTCCCGGCTCCAGAGCCCCTGGAGCAGGACTGTGCCCAGACGGCTTTTTAATACCTTCAGGGAAGGAGACTCCACAGCCTCTGGGCAAACTGTTCCTGTATCCCGGGTGATGAGTGGAAAAACACGTGAGGCAAATTTGGTGGTGGTCTGTCTGTCACAGGAGTTTGTTTCCATGAAGAGGGATGAGGCATTGCCCTGCGGGTTGCATAAGACAGGAAACAATATTGCTTTGAACAGAGCAACACGCAGTAGGTGCTCGAGGAGAATGGGCCTGTGTACTAACAATTTCAGTGTTAATTTTTCTCTACACCCAGAGCTTAGTGATACCAAGGGTTGAGGACTAAATACAATACTCTCCCTTTATTGTAGGAAGAGCAGATCAGGAGGAAAAAGCGAGAAGATCGTCTCGAGAAAATTCGCAATAACGTGCAGTTAAAATATGCAGCAAAGAGGAAGGTGAGTTATTCCACAGAGATTAGAACCTTCTGTTTTGGTTACATTGAGTGTTGTTCGTACTTGTTTATGTCTGTGACTTCACACTGCCTTTCTGAGGAGCTTTTTGTATTCAGATGCTGAAATTTGCCATCCAAAATTTTTGGTTAGATTTTGTTTTAGAAGTACAGATGTGAAAAACAATTTGTGCATCAATAATTTCCTCTGGGTGTGTTTGTGTATGGGTGGAAATTACGTGTGTTTTGATGACCTCTGCCTCTCTGCTTCTCTTTAAAAGTTTTAATACTTAGATTTTTTTTGAAAACTCTGTTTTATGAGCATTTGTGAGCTCTCTGTACTTCTGGAATAAAAACTGTCATTAAATTTATGGTCATGGGAACAGAATATCACCCAAAGGAAACCAGGTCAGGCATTGGTTGTACTTCAGTCACCACTAGGGAACAATTGTTTTTGTTTACTTCCACGGTAAACATGATTGTATTGTTCAGAAATGTTTATTTTCTGAATGCAAAATGTTCTCAGATATATTTTCCTGTAATTTAGATTAATGAACTGGCCTCAGTACTCTTAGCTCTAAGAGGTTTTTGATGGTATGAGTGGAACTTCCCAGAAATACATATTTCAAGTCCCCATACAGGCAGATTTATGAGGCTACCAGGCTGTTAGTTTCTAGTGTGCTCCATCTCAAGTGTCATGTAATGTTTTGGTCAACTCCTGTCAAAGGGACGTGACAGAAATAGTGAAGAATGGCAAATAAAAAACAAGTGGAACAAAGACCTTGTCTCTTTTAAGAGGATGAAGAGCCTGTGAAATGAGAAGCATGATAAAAAGCAAGAAAGTAAATGAGAGAAATATTATAGAGATTTGGAAAAGCAATTAATCTTCTGTGTAGGGCTTACCAACTGCATTTCTTTATAATGCCATGGTAATAAAACACTCACTGACATTGGAAGATACGGTTTTCAGATTGAAAAACAAACTTTATCAGGACACAAAGTTAACCAAGAAACTGTTCTTCAGCAGCTTAATGCAATTTTTGTTGAAGGCTAGACCTGTGTTAGAATAACAATCACATAACTGGAGAAAAAACAGCAAGAGAAGTCTTGTGCTCTGTGTTCTAAAACAGATACTGAGTTAATCCTAGTTTTGAATTAAGTGTACATGGAGTGTTTGATTATATCCTTATATGTTTGCTTGGGTTTATTTACACACTTTTTTTCTCAGGCAGATTTGGGCCACTTTAAGCAACTAATACTTACATGAATGTTTCATTGAGGATCTATTAGTTCAGCAGGCCTTTGGCATAGAATTTTCTTTATGTTTCCCTTTTGTAACTGTCTTTGTGGGCAAGTCTTTGATCGTTGGTAGCAGCTGCATTCTGTGGGACTGAACAGCTTCAGACCCCTTTGGTGCACGCGCTTGCCCTGCTGTGGGTTTACCCAGCAAGTCATTCCCTGTGCTGTGTGTGAGGGACTGCTGTCTTCTGACCTGTCTGTGCCATGAAGTGATGCTCGTGCTGCCTCTCTTTTTATATGAGAAATACTGCACTCCTGTGTTCCTCTCAGAGATCCGAGGAGGAGGAGATGAAGCGCCTTCTTCAGCTCAGCAAGGAGGCTCTGTCACAGGGAGCTGGAGCAGATGTTCTGGACCAGCTGGATCACAACGAGGAGGAGCTGATTCTTGCTGAATATGAGAGTGATGAAGAAAAGAAAGTGGTATCTGGGTAAGGACAGGGACTGAGGGGGTTCCACGCCAAAGAAACATTTTCTGTATAGTTTTTGCCTTGCTCGGATTAAAGAGATGTCACCTGTAATGGTGCAGATTTTATTCAAAAGAGTTTCTCATCTTTTCAGACTGTGTAAGGTAGTGGTTGTTCTGGGGTTTTGTTTAATTGGTTGTTTGTTTTTTTAAGCTTTTCTTAGATTGATCAGAGTAACCTGAAATGCTTTCTGAGTGAGTGCGTCTTAAAATGCTTGGCAGTGTCCTGCCTTTATCCATGCCCAGTTTCCCGAAAAGTGCCTTGGATGCTGAGCAAATGACTCAAGATTAAGTTCCTTGTATTGGAAAAGCAGAATGGAACTCAGGACATCAGAGGAAGCTGTCAGTCCTGTAGATTAGCACTGGCATCTTTTGATACTATAAAGGGAGAGAGATGTTCACATTTCTAAAGACGGAGCTTCGGCATGAAAATCTCATGCACACTTTTCTCTCTCATACATTTGGTTTATGGCAAAAGCCAGAAGTCATAATTCAGCACAAAAAGTCAAATGTGTTTAAAATACAAATTTACTAATTAGTATCTAGACAGATCCTTCTGCCTTAAAAAGTGAAAAATACTTAACTTCTTCATTTATATGCAGTTTATCAAACATTAAACTGCTGTTGCCTTTGAGGAACTCTGTGGCAGCCGAGGGCTTTCCTGAAGCTTTTCTTTGTGCAATAGCTGGAGGGTGGTAAATTGCCTCTACAGGGAAAGCTTTACACAAATAAATAGATAAATAAGCTCACCAAAGAATGGTATAGCAGTGATTAGCTTATGCCTGGGGCTTAGAAGCCCCAGAATCAAAAGAAAAAAAAACTCTTGAATTTGCAGAAGGCAGAACCCTAAAGACATTTTCCTTTTAAAGAGCAAAGCTCGACTTGATTGTGCGCGCTTACACTTTTCTTAAAAAGCTGATTTTTCTTTTACCACCTGGGTTAAGATCTGAGGCTTTTTTTTGAGATGACTTAACCAGCTCTCTCTTTTGAGACCTCTCTCTTGTAGTAGAGCATAATTTGATTCTTACTGCCACTGATCTGCTGAAAGGGAACTGTTTGAGCTTTCTCTTTTCTTAGGCTGGAAGAAGATGATGATGATTTGGAAGAGGAGCATGTGACTAAGGTGAGATGAGGAAAGTAAATAGTGTCATTTCATAAAATAGTGTAGGAGTGAGCAGAATTATGGCTTCCTTGCACCTTTCCAACAGTCATGTGGTACAGAAAGATTTAGGAACTAACGTATAAGAACTACCAAGTTTGTTGATAGTGACAACTAGTTCTGCTGTGCTCATCTCCTGGACTACACTGGCTGCCTAAGCAGCTTGCTCTGCTAGCACTGCTTAATTTTTGCTGTGGCTTGCTGTAAAAGCACACTGCAATAAATAGCATTTTATTACTCTCCAATGGTGAGTCCTTGTTTTTATAGAGATGTTGGAAAATTAAATGGAAACAAAGACAAATGATAGGAGAAAACAAAGATGGGGCTTTTAACCTCAACAGTTGTGACACTCAAAGTTGTGTTTTTGAAGGCTTGAGCAAGGTGAACCTTGTTGAAGTGCTTGGCTGCATCCTTGCAGGATTGGTTGTAGGTAGGGGATTGGCTTCCATGTTCTTCTTGTCTTCCCTTTGTTCTCCCTTGCTGCAGATTTACTACTGCAGCCGCACTCACTCCCAGCTCTCTCAGTTTGTGCGTGAGGTGCAGAAAAGTCCTTTTGGCAAAGACACACGTCTGGTTTCCCTGGGATCCAGGCAGGTATGTGGTGTTGTTCTCCAGGGACCCAGAGGGCATGTTAACCTAGTGTGAGAGACTTTGTGAGGAGGTATGTGGATCTGGTGCCACAGAAGGCACCTCGGGGGTTGACTGAGTCTCCCACTGGAAAACTAAAGTCGTGGGTCTCAGCACAGATCTATGTGATGTAGATTCTTCTGTGAACTCTCTTTTGGTCACTTCCCCTTTGATGTAAATGCAA